CATATTGTGAGTATAACACCCTATTGACGAGATTGACGCAATTCTCTGGGGCTCCTCTAATTTATTGTAACTTGGTTTATAATGCATCCGTACACAAAATCTTGTTACTTTTTTTAGAAAATTAAAAATGTCATCACCGCTAGTAATTATACTTAATTTCTTTCATTCTAGTGTCCAAACCAATGTACAGAGTGACCAAAAGGTCATGTTACCGTTACAATGTCTAATAAGTCTCAAAAATTGTTTTTTTTATGAACAGTAATGGTATGTGGTAATAAAATTGCAAAAACAATATCCAAAGCAGTTGTACACTTACGGCTAAAGTAAAACATGAAAGATTTATGTCTTTGTATCCTCATTTTTGGTGGGGGTGGAAGGAAACTCATTACAGGAATATTATTTTTACTGAGGTGGTTTGGATGCAGAATTAATGAAGCAATATCAATGAATGAGCTCCAGATAATAGCGAATTAGTGGGTGGAAGCAGCAGTGTACTTCATGCAGACGTAAAGGAAATCAACCCACTTTGCTAGCTTCAAGTATTCATTTCTATCAGGAAGTTTGTAGGTGTTGATATGTGTCCTATGAGCTAAAATACTGCGTGTTACTATGGGATTTTCATTCAATAGGCTACTTATGTAGTGATCCAAATTAAATTTGCTGTTTCCCAATTTATAGACACATTTATAGACACATTTCACCACAAACTAACAAAGGTGCTGGTTCATTTCCAGAATAGGACGCACAGCAATGCATTCTCAGCACACTCTTGGTTTGTCAAGTGGAAGTTGATTCTATGAGTCATTGTTTAATTGAGTTTCAATTAACAGATTAAATGATCTCAGATGACAGAAAAACATCTACTGTCTTATGCCTGCATTCATTTTGAAATACCAAATCCATAAAATCCTAACCAGCACTATAATGGGGCAATAGTACTGGTTCGGATCTTACGAATCCTAAGTACCAGTCAGCGCCCATGGAGGCTTTATAACAGGATTTCACTATTTGTTTAAATTGAAAGTTGATATTAATAAATTGCATTCTATTATAAACATATTACACTAGTCTGGATTTGGCATCTCTTGATGTTCTGTACACTACGATAAAGTCTTCAATTAAATGTATATTTTTTAAACTCTGTATGAACCTAAATGAGAGAAACTGCTTCTCTGGGCATAGTTTCAGTTATATTTAAAAAACTAAATTGTTCAGATTTTACTCCACTCAACCTACTCTTTTTCCAACATTTGTACAACAGAATCTTAACATGCAAACCTGTAAGATGTGGATTTTATTAAATTTGTCTTAATCATCCAATAACATTTCCATTCTGCCAACAAATCCTTGGTTAAATCCTACATTAAATGGACATGAAGGAGACATGCATTGGGGAAAAAATACAAAATAGTTGCAACAAGATAATGACAGTCATTAATTACTGGTTAAAGGGTTTTAAGCTTAATATGAATGCTTTTAAATGAAAGTTTAGAAATAATGTTATTGTTAATTATTTGTACCTCACACCCAGCACAGCCGAAACCCTCATCCACACTTTCGTCAACTCCCGCCTTGATTATTCCAATCCCTTCTCACTTGTCTTCCTAGCTCAACTGTCCAAAATATCCAACTAATTCAAAACTGCCTGAATACTTGCCCAAACAAACTCTGTACCCCCAACATCCCAATCCTTGCCAGGCTCTGCTGGATCCCTATTACAGAACAGATCAACTTCAAGATTCTCAAACTCCTTCACAAATTGCTTCATGCCCTGACATCTTCCTACCTCTCTGAAATGCTTACTCCCCACACCACTACCTCTGCTTGGCTGGCTCCGGCCTCCTGCTTGTCCCTCATCCCCTCCATTGCACCATCGGAGGCTGTGCTTTCAGCCCAAATTATGGAAGTCTCATCCTTAAATCATCCATCTTGCCTTCTCCCTGAAGGCCTTCCTCCTTGACTTTGCCTACGGTTACCTCCCCTGATTCAACATCAAGCCACTGTTAAGTGTTCCAGAATGCTGCCCGATGTGAAGGGAGCTATATGACTGCAAGTTGCAGTTGTTGCTATTTGCATGTGAGCCAAACATAATTTATCACATTTTACAATATGATCTTTTAGTTTTGATCTAAGTATGAAAGTATAGATCACTCAATTGATAGGTAAACTAAACATTTAAAAAAAGTGTTAAACTTTTGCACGAAGAGGCCAAATTCCAAGAATTAACCTGGAGGGAGTACGTGGATTAAAATGCTGATGCATATTTTCTAATGGGTACCCTGTTCATCTGAAGGTTGCTTTAAAAGACCCATTTAATTTCTGCACACTCTCCAATTTCGCCCTGCCGGGAATAGAACCCAGGTCTCTTGCTTGCATGGTGAGTGCTCTAACCACTGAGCTACAGGATTCCACGCTACAGGCACTTCCCCAAATGAGTTCTGAAACAGACTACATAATTGATGTAAACAAAAGTGATACAGTAGTTAGAACTGTATTTGTCTGTAGTTTACCATGTGCTCTTGTTATCTTGGTACACAATTCAAATCAATGTGGGTGGTTGAGTGGAAGCTGCTGTTTATATTTTTGCTATGGGTCAGCTCCACAAGTATAATTTTTTTTAATGTGCATATGCAACACTGTATACATACAAACAATTTCAGTGACAGAAGAAATAAGACCAGAGATAATAGTGGGCAAATTCAGCAAGCATGTCATTGCCATTCTCTCTGATGATGTGGGTTGGTTCAGATTGGCAATGACCAATTACCTCCCTCACCCCAATTTTAAAGTACTTACTGTTTTTGCAGTCAGCTGGATTGTCTGACACAAGAAGAAACCTACCACCATGCTTAAGAGAATTAAAACCAGGCTGATCATATGTGCTTCTACGTATGTGTGCAACCTCCCCATGGAAATTTCCTCATTGATCTGGAATGGAATGTGCGCTCTCTCCCTGGAGGAATGCAAACTGCTTGCCTAAAAAAGGTATTAGACACAGGTTGAAAAAAGCCCAGGCTTAAGGACCCAGAGAGTGTTAAGGCACTGCTGGAGTTTAACTGAGTAAAATCAAATTGCCTGGCTGCTCGGTGTTATATTCCAGGTTGGGCAACCTGGTGGATAACACAATGAGTGCCCTACCCACTCTCTACCACCTCTAACCCCTGCAGTCTCCATGACTGTGGGCTGACCATGCCCCACTAACCGCTTGCCTCAAGTCTTGGCATGCGCATCTTGGCTGCTGGCCCCAACCCGAGCTGCTATTCCCCCAAAATGCTCCCTTCCCTGCAATTCTCCCGCATTGTCCTCCTCTCTCTCTGTCCTCCTCACTATCTTAACTGTCCCACAGTCTCCCTCTACTCCAGCCTCTCACCGTGGCACTCAGTGTTGGCTGTCAAGCAGTAGCCACACTGGCTGCCCCATTCCCCACTATCACTGCAAGCCCCGGCAGACCCTGACCCCAGGGGCCAACTTCTTCTCCCTCATCCTTGTTCCCACCCTCCCTGCCAATACTCTCACCACCCCCCTCCCATCTCATACATTCTTTTGCCAACTGCCTTTTTCACACGCCTTTTGTGCATTAAAGCACATCAAAGGCACTTTACAAATGTAGTTTTGTATAACTTACCATTAAATAACCCTTCTGGCAAGCTTCCTGCTGCTTGTCCAATGAGGGACATCTATAGTTGGGACTTTAGTTTGTGGGAATAACGAGCTCAATGGGAAGAATCATTGCCTCTAGTCTGTCCTTTAAGGTTTTGCCAATGATCCAGAGGGCTAGTTTGTCATCAATAGGCCCTGTTTAATTGGGGAGCTCACTTGCAGGCTTCATAGACGTAAGACTAGTGAATGATAGCTGAGTCCACTTGGCACATCAGCAGACTCAAATTTTGAACAGTACATTTGCCTCTGGTAGCGATTAAATTATTGCCATTTGAACAGTGTTGCAGTAATCTAGTGCATAAACATGCAAAAGCAGGACTTAGGCCAGTTCTTTCTACCAGAAAGCACTACTTATTGGCAATTGCTGCTTGTTTTGTTGGAAGATAGTCTTCATCCAATTTGTCACATCTTGCTTGCTGTGTGTTAATTGTTCATCCATCCAATCTACTAAATGGAATATCCACACTGAGTGAGGTCAGGAACTCTTCTGGACATGTGGATGCACAGAAATTAATCTACAAATAATTTGTGGTACTGAACAATTGCCTGGTTCATCTCAAAGACTGCAGACAACTCATCATGTGGAATTGAGCAGCCAGCACCTATCTGATCTCACTTCCTCATAGAATAGATGTTCTCAACTATAAGGTCAGGTTCTGTACCCAGACCTAGGTGGCTTCTACTTGCCAGTCAGGCCATGGACAAAAATAACTTTTAAAACAGGTGTGTCTACTGATGTGATGGTAGTCATCATTCTTAAACTGTTGGCACCCACTATGCAGCAAGCTCCCTCTTGCCCACTACCAAAAAGCCTTCCAGAGTGGATAGATGATGTTAGGAATGAGGCTGATTTAAAACAAAATCTTGTACAGTGCAGGATTCTGAGAGCTATGTTGGGGCAGAGAAGGTTCTCCCAGTGGTGTTTCAGCAATATAACAGGTGTGGCAGAATGATTAGGAGTTTGAACTCGGACATGCACTATTGAACTGAATGGCTTGTTGCACAACTTGCTATACAATTTATATAATTATGTGTAATACAGAAATTTTCTGAAAGCAAGACGGTCCCTTTTCGTAGAAACCAAATTATTTTACTACTGGTGTTGAAATCAGATCATTCATTGTATGAAGAATGCCCTTAATTGAAAGAATGAAGAAAACCCTAAGAGATTTTTTTTGTGTGGTTTCAAATTCCATAACAATGGAACCGATTAACTCAAAATATGTTCTTTTCGGGAGTGTTTGTTTGAATGAAAGATCTTGAATCAGTAAAATAGTTAAGATGGCCACAAAATAAATAATAATATTAGGTTTCTCATGCTATTTCTCTGGACTTTTCAGTTAGTGGTGAATGGCAGAATGAGAGCACCTCCACCACGGAAGTTGATGAAGACATTGCAGTCACCCAGACCCAGAGGAATTTCACATGCCCCATTACACAGGTACAGCACATTCTGAGAACTATTTGTTCAAGTACATTTACTGCTTGCAGTCAGCAATCAAACACCTATGAATTTATTTTAACTCATTTCAAAATACGTATTTGCTACAGCTTTGTTATGGTGACATCCTAAAATTGAAAGTTTATTCACTTCATGGTTGTTTGCAGAATTTTAATGTGGGCAAATTGGCTGCTTCGTTTGCCTACAAAATACAGTTACGGCACTTAACGTTAAATCTTGTGGAGTGCTTTGAGACGTCCTCCCGGCGTGAAATATGCTATGCCAAATGTAAGGATTATTAATGCAGCAAAGCAAAACAGTTGAATTACAGATTCAAAACATTCATTGACTTTAATGCACAGAAAGCTGCTTTTCAGCCCTTTGAATTTAGATCAAAAGTGACTGGAGGGAATGCACACTCTTTGATTGAAAATCTTTCATGTATGTTACCTCCATTGCCAATAATGTTATTGTTTTGGATCTGGGTGTGTGTGGGTGGGGGGGTGGGTGAAACTTGCATTTCACAAGTTAAAATGGTGGTGGTTCATATCTATTTTTTCAATGGAAGTGAAAATGCTGTATAAACTGTACTTGATAATAATATAATAATAATAATCCTTGCATTTGATAGAGGGCTTTTCACGTCTTCTAGATGTCTTAAAATGCTTTTTCACAGAATATGCTGTAAAGTGAATTGACTATATTTGTGGGCAAAACGCAGCAGCCAATTGCGCACAGCAATGTCCCACAAACAGTCATGGATTGAAAATGACCAATTTATAATTTTTTTTTGGAGGGATTATTATTAGGTTGTGAAGTAAGGAAACTTGCCCAAGGTTTCACCCTTCTGGAATTGAACCCAGGTGTCTCACTTGCAAGGCGAGTGCTCTAACCACTGAGCTACAGGACTGATGTCAGATTATTTCATAGCATAGGATGTTCATAGAACAGAAAGAAGCCATTTGTCTTGTTTTCAATGCTGCTTGGTTTCAGCAGTCATTTTAACAACCTCTTGTAATCTCCCTTTTTTTTGTTTTGGTCGTAATTTTCTTGCTCACATCTTATTAAGATACTGTAGCTAGAATGCTATTGGCAGCGACCTGCAAACAGCACGTTTACCTGACTGATTGACCACAAAATGCTTTGTGGTTCATTAAATAAAGTGAAAAAGTAGAAGGGAGAAAAACCTTTGTTCTCATCTTCAAAGCCCTCCGCGGTCTTGCTCCCCCCACCTCTCTGACCTCATAACCCATATTAGCCTGTCCGCTCCCTCCATTTGGCAGACACTGGCCTGCTTCAAGTCCCCCACACTTCCCGCCCCACCATTTGTGGTCGGGCATTCAACATATCTGCCCTCACACTCTGGAACTCTATCCCGCAATCCCTCAGCTTCAACCCCTCTCCTTCAAGTCCCATCTGAAGACCTTCCTCTTCAACCGTGCCTTCAGCCACCCTCCGACCCTCACCCCCCTACCCTCCTCCCCTTCTGACCCCAGATTGGGTCCAGCGCCCCTGGACGTCTTTGCAGGGGCTATAAAAGTGTAATTTGTTGTTGTTGTTGTTTGTGCTTTTGCAGAAGGAAATGGAACGTCCCGTGAAAAATAAAATTTGTGGTCACAACTATGAAGAGGAAGCCATAATAAAAATAATCCAGAACAAACGCAGACAAAAGAAGAAAGCCCGGTAAATTTTTAACAATGTTTTGCTTGTTAATTTTCTTGAATTTCTCTCACCTTGCTACACAGACTCCTTTACTGGGGTACGGTTCCACAAGTGTGGGTCACCCTTCCATTCCTGGCCCAAGTTGCCATCATTCATGTTTGATTCTCAAAAATATCAACAGGATATTCAATGGTAGGGTTTTTTATCTTCATCCTTGTGCTTTGCCCAATAAGAGACTTAGCGCACTTCCAGTAGCGATTGCTATCAGGACAAAAGACCGCTTGACTAAAGTGCTACTGTAACAGATTTGCTGAAGTGAACTATAGCACAACTACTGCTGCTGCATTGTCTGAAATCAGATAAATAAATCAGGTGAGGTAGATATCTGCATTAATTGTAACAGAAGCTTGTTGTACAAACATTTTCTAAACACAATTAGCAGTTTCTTTCATTCCTGACTTCCTTCCAGTCTTTGAAAGTTTTAATGGGCAACTCCTTTCCTTATTTACAAGGGTTTAAATCATCTCACTCCTGAGTGGTCAACAAATCTATTTAATTAATACACTACAATACAAAATTACATTTGTAAAGCGCCTTTCACATTGGGAGGACACCCATGGCACTGAACAGTGATTAGGACTCGAGTGGGGGGGTGTGGGGGCAGAGAGGGTAGGAGGGTGGCCGAAGACATGATTGAAGAGGAGGGCCTTGAAGGAGGCAAGGGAGGGAGCGAGGAAAAGGGAATGTGGGATGGGGTGAGGCAGTGGTGGAGTCAGGCAATGTTGCGGAGGTGGGGGAAGGCAGAGCGGGTCATGGAACCGATGTGGGGGAGAAAGGATAGTTGAGGGTCGAACAAGACACCCAGGTTCCTGACTGGCTTGGTGAGGTGGAGTGTGCAACCATGGATGCTGATGTTGCCAGTGCCTGGGGTAAGGAAGCGCTGGCGCGAGCCAATCAAGAGAGCCTCGGGCTCGGTGATGTTCAACTGTAGAAAGTTGGTTCTCATCCAGGACTTGATATCTGACAGACAGTCTGTCAGGACAGCAGTGGTCCTGGAGTCGAGAGTGGAGGCAGAGAGATAGAGTTGGGGGTCATCTGTGTACAAGTGGAAGTTGACCATCCATGTCTGGATGATATCACTAAGAGGGAGCATGAACAGGTTGACGAGGAGAGAACCTGAGGAACACCGCACGAGATGGTGCAGGACTGGAGAAGAAACCATTTGAGACAAAGTGGAGCCGATGTGAGAGATAGGATCTGATTTAAGTACTTATAGGTAGACTGATGTCAAAAAGTCCTCCTACGTGGTAAAAACTCTAGGTACCCACTAGAGTTTGATAAGCCCTTTTTATTTGCTGAGCACTCAGATATGACACCGTTCATATTATGCTACAAAAATCTTGTCGCTTGTGGGGCAGTTTTCTCGCATATTTGCATATTTGGATCCCAGGCTAGAAAGAAAAATGCCGTTTAATGAATTTTAATCCCGCACATTCCTACACTTTTAGCGGTTAAGTATTACCGCATTTGTTATAAACTGATTGTTAGTGACGCATACTGGCTATTTTCAAACTTACTACTCCTTGTTTTTATGAACATTCCAGCAATTTTATACTTGGAACAGGAAACCACAATCTGATTAACCTCCCTATTCCACCATCAAGCATCCTGGAATGTATACTGAAGCCAGAGGAGTCCAATTCCCAGACATGTTTAAAGTTAAAATGAATTGTCCATGGAATAAATAGAATATTGCAACACTGGCTGCATTACTCACATTCCATCTTTCATCCAAAAGACTTGTTTCTTCCTTTTGCCCATAGTGCCCTTGAATTATATGTCTTACTTGTGAGCTGTTAATGTATCACCATTGACCTAAATTTAACACCCAATAAAATTAATTGATGCTTTATTTCTTTCAAATATACTGTCATCGAGTGTCTTTAACCTAAAATAAGAACTCAAACTAACACAGCAGTTATATACTTGCTATCATTACTGTGACAGTTTTCATTTTTCTTTATCTCCACTGTTCCTTAAATAAGACAGAAAAGACAGGTAGGTGGTCAATGCACATTTGGTTGATGGGAGAAGTTCCTCAAGTGCACTTATTTGACGTTACAGTAAACAAGTCATTTCCTCAGGCTGTGCTAACATTCCTTTCCCATCTTCTACGGTAGCTGAGATCCCTTGATCCTGCACATCTGAGAGATTCAGCAAACGTATTGTTTCTCAGAGTATGTCAAACACTATTCCCACAGTCATGTTCATCAATTATTGGGAGGACCTAGTTTCAGCTGATGTGTATTGTGAAATGTCCGGATGAGAGGATGATTTATTTTACTGCAAAGTGAAGTGCAGGAGAGAAATCCAAAGAGACAAAAATATAGGTTTATGTTTTGAATGATAGAAAAGGTATCTTGAAGTGTAGCATTGCAAATTCTTATTTAATAATTGGGTAAACACCTTCTGTGAAGTTTTTTTTACTTCACTTTATATACTCTGGAATTGTAGAAGAGTTTCAGTAAATTATCTATCATGTTAAAGAATTTTAATTGGACCAAAAAAAACAACTAAAAGATTATTGATATTTCTTCTAAAATATGAGGTTGAGAAAATCTTGTTGGTTTTCATTGAGCTGTTTTTATTATTACACGCGGAAATCAGTGCATGCTATATGGGCTTGTGCAAAGTCGATTTGTGAGGTATCTGAAAGTAAGTAGTATCTTAAGAAGGGAAATGACATTAAATGTAAGGCTTAATTTATATTTGTGACCCTGTGGTAAAGTAATGACTGACATAAATGTTGTACAAAAATAGAAATAGAGGAGCAATGTCCAATTTAATGTCCATTTTAATGTGTCCTTTTAATGGCTCTTCAAAAGGTACCCAAATATTGTTGTACATTTCTCAGTTCGATCATCCAAAAGTGTCCAGGTATTTCAGCACGTCCATTTCTATTATGGCAAGTCCAATTCAATTATCCGAATGTATCCAGATATTTTTGGCACGTCCAATTATATCATGGCACATCCAATTCGCTCAGTCTCCTTCTGATCCTCTTTCCGAATCGAAACAATAGCTAGTCAAGCTAGTCACAACCAGCTCCCATCATATGAGATTGATAATATGTCTCAAAAATATAATTTGCACATATAATTTGAGATATTTAACACATTAATTTCAGAATTTTTCATAAGTGCATTCCATCAGCTAAAATTGAGCAATAAAATTGTGACAATCACCCTATCACAACTAACAGTGCAGAAAGTAGCTCTAAGCTGCTAAAATCAAATGTAATAGAAAACAACAGGCAATAGAAAATATATCACTGTCTTGATACATGAAGATAATGTAGTCTTGGAATTTGTTTGAAGATTAAGAAACGGCCCAATGACTACTTGGGAACAATATCCATTCTTGCAAAACTATTGTTTCAAAGGCTAGAAACACATTTAGTATTTTTTTTAAATCAATTCACTTTGTTTCTGTAATAGGTGCCCAGTCATTGGATGTGATAATGGAGATGTTAAACAGTCTGACCTTTCAGTTGACACAACTCTGAAGAGATCTATTGAAAATCAGAAAAAACAGCACAATCTGTGATTGTCACACAGATTTGTGTTGACACTTTCAACGACCAGAACATCTCAATTGTAATTCTCTATCAAGCCATTCTTGTAGAGAGGGACGAGTTCCATTTTAACTTCTGATAATTATTCTATATTTTGACTACATTTTCTGTTTCATTTGATTTACTTGTGTTTAGGTTACTGAAAGTCACATAACTTCTTACGTGACTCGTTTTAATTGGAGATTGACAATAGCAGCACAAACCAAAGTGCCTGAAGTTTAGTTTGTTCAAATCTAAATACGTTATAGGTTTATTTCATCTGAAAGTCTAGTTTGTGTTCAATTGAGGAAATTGAGTTAAATGTTTTTTGTATTTGTTGTTTACAGTTATTACCAAACTATTGAACTGTGAACAACTCTGTTAAGTGAAGTTATCATTAAAATGTCAAGATTTAAAATTAGGATTTGCCTACAATGTGGATAATGCTTTAACATTTTGAAAGTACTATTTTATAAGATGTTTTTCTGCATGATTTCTCAACATTACTGTTTGCAATTTTCAGTTCAAGTTGTCTTCTCTCTTGCAGCTTGAATCTAAAATAAAAATTGCTTGGTTTATTGGTTTGCTTATTGATTTATCTGTAAGGAATCATAGGGTAGCATCTTAACATATTGTACTTGATGCAAGTTGCTATTGACATTAGTTATGTTGAAGCATATAGGAATCAGAAGCAGCTATGTGGGATATTAAGTGAGTGGGTGTTATTATGAGACGTTCAAGAGTTTGCTGTCAAAACATTGTATATGTTCTTCCAATTCATGGCACTTATTGACACTCATATTTTTGCTCAGTAATAAAAGTAGGGAAAATATTTGAGGCTCTCTTGCTCTAATTTTTTTAGCATGCCAGTACTCCTATTAGCTAAAGTTATTGTTTCCCATTTGTAAATTGAAGCCAAACATATTTCTCTTTGTTTTAATAATAATAATCCTTGCATTTGATATAGCGCTTTTCACGTCGGGAGGACGTCCCAAAGCGCTTCACAGAACACACTGTAAAGTGAATTGACTGTATATTTGTGGGCGAACGCGGCAGCCAATTGCGCACAGCAATGTCCCACAAACAGTCGTAGATTGAAAATGACCAATTTATTATTTCTGATTTTGGAGGGATTATTATTAGGCTCTGTGTGGAGTAAGGAAACTTGCCCAAGGTTTCGCCCTGTCTGGAATTGAACTCAGGTCTCTCGCTTGCAAAGCGAGTGCTCTAACCACTGAGCTACAGGACTCCACATGGCAACTTGCAGCCTTACAAACAAGAGACATGGGTTTGATTCCCGGCAGGGCGAAAAGTTGGGCAAGTTTCCTTACTCCACATGCCTCTGTTTACCTAGCAGTAAGTAGGAACCCTATTGTTAGTCGATTGGCAGATCGTTAGTCCAGGGATAATATTTTCTTTTTTAAAAAAAATAATAAATTGGTCACTCAATGCACGACTGTTTGTGGGATACTTCTGTGTGCAATTGACTGCTGCATTTCACCCACAAAATATACAGTTCATTCACTTTACAGTATATTCTGTGAAGTGCTTTGAGACGCCTCAAAGATGTAATAAGGCGCTGTATCAAATGCAAGGATTCTTATTATCTTGAATATACAGAATATATTTTAAAAGTATTTAAATGTAAATCAAATACAGAAATGTGAAGTCTAAAGACCAGATTTGCCCACTTACCTACTAAATATCAAAATTTTACTGAAAACTCCTGATTTAACATATTGTAATGCATCATAAATTAACTCAGATTACATAGTAGGCTGCACACTTAATCACATATACCCTGAAGTCTTTATTAGACTTGTCAGTTTAGAGCAGGAAGCTGTAAGTTGATATATCCAACAATTGTCAATACAGGAAACAACAAGACTTAATATATATATTTATCATTGGGGAATTTTGCTTGAAATAAAAGTTGACATTCTGTAATCTCTTTGAGGTGAGTGTTTCTATTTATATTGAGATGAACAAGCATTACTGCTATTCTTGAATATGTTTGATGCTGTCAGTTCTTTGGACCTATGAAAGAAAACAACTATCGACCTCTACTGTATTAAAACATTGCACATTTTTCTTTGCATCCTTTATGTGTCATTCACAAAGAATAAAGGTTGAGTCTGTAGGTGGATGATACCATGCTGTGGTGTTTGCAGGATGTAGATTTGATCATGCAACTGAATTCATGATCTCTGCTGTGGGGAAGAAAATTCAGAAGGGATTTAACCTTAAGCTGCTGTTGAATGATTCACATCATCCAGTTTAGAGTGGCATAGTCAAAATTCCCGACCCAGGCTTTGTCTTGGTCACATGGATCGAGGAACAAAATAGATGGCTTTCATATTCTCGGGTTGATAACTTCAACTCAACCCCATTAAATTAAATCTCCAGCACTTTAAGTTCTCCTGTGCCAATATGTACAGGAGGGCAAGTGATTTGTTCAAAGTCTCAGTCACTGTTGCTCTTGAATTGGCTTCATAGGAGGCACTGCAAGATTTATATGCTGAAAGGGCACAGTACCTTTCCTACAGTAGTCCAGGAAACCTTGCCTTACCGTAGCAACTGTAAGTGCGTGTCACAACACAATGCACTCTAGTATTGATCACTGAGGATTTTTAGAATCTTATTTTGATATTCTGTGATTGTGCAAAACAGATACGTTAATGTTGAAAAATTGAACACGCATTTTGAACACGCTGTCTCAGCATTAAGTACTCCCGTGACAGATTAGATCAGAATAAAGCTACCTCTACTCTGTTCAATTAATGACTCAGTCCCAAATTTAGAAAAAGGACCAAATTGCACGATGTGACATTTAGCACATCCCACGCTGGCCGTTCAGTGGTTTCTCATGAAGTCTGAAACTTGAAACAAATTATGGGCCGTTTGTGTAGTGAGCTTGTACCCCACAAGAATTATTGCATTCGATTGAGCACCTTATCATGTCACCAAGACGCCAACAAAATAGTATTTACTGTGAAGTGGAGTGATTGCATTTGTAGGTGTATCATATTAAGACTGTTCAAACGTATTTAATTTATGGTCCTTGCAACCAACAAAGAATAAAGACTTATCATACCATGCTGGGGATTTAGATCAAGTACATGAGGGAGAAGGGAATAGAGTATTTTCCTTTCTATAAAATTCCACTTATTATTGACTTAGAGGGCAGATGTTACATCTGTCAGTAACATAGTTACTAAGTTATCTATGTTACTAATAGAGATTCCTAACTAGGTGGTGGAGGGTATCTGTGAGTCTCTTGGGTCACTCCTTCCTCTCTCTCTGCAGTTTTACTTTGCACAGCCCCAAACAGTTCAGACCGCGGAAACTTGCTGAGCAGTGAATGCTGGCTCAAACCTCATGTCCTATATTTCTGTTTCTCAGGATGTCAGCGACTGCCCTGCTGAGATGCCATTTAAAAATATTATTTTTCAAAATGACCTTAGTTCTATTTTCATCTGTGCAGTGTGAAAACGAATGATCTTAAACTGAAAGCTGGTTACAGTATGTAAAAACTGGAATCATTCTTACATAACTCAACAGTGTGCGATATCTGAATGGCACTTGTCTGACTTAATTTTAATTCCAATTGGTTCACAACACTTGATCATCAAACTCATTCTGATTGCTTTAACTATGGGTTTTAGTTTGCTACCAGCCCCACTTGCATCAAATGTAATGGTGTCTCATTTTGGACCAAGTGAGCCTGAAAATCTTTTATGCAATGTTTTATAAAAAGAAAAACAATAGCAACAGGGAACATGTTACAACACTATAAATGGATTACCTGCAACAGTGCAAGTTTACACCAACCAGCTGCTGTGGCAAAGTTCCTGGCATTTCTAACAATTAAATCTGCTTAGAATTTTTTTTTGCTTTCTCTTTTTTTCTGCTTAGCCGTTTTTTGAAATTAAAAATAGTAACTTGATGGCCAAGTGGATTAAAATAAGCACATCCGGTAGTATTAAGTCATACAGACAAAGTGGTGTTTGATGAAATCAGACCTCAGCTGGGGGAGGAGGGCTGAATAGGAATCAAGAGATCCCTGATGGAAAGTGCTCAAACATGGATGCCACATAAGAACTTAAAGGTACAGGCTTGGCTGTTTGAACAGCATGCCAACGTTCACTGCTAAGGCTTGACAATTGGAACATGCCATATGGCAGATAAAAATAATCATTATTGTAATTGGCATAGCGCCCTTCACATTAAAGTGCTTCACAGGATACATTTTAAAGTGTAGTAACTGTATTCTGTAGGTGAACACCAAGGTCAATTTGCGTACAGCAATATCCTCCAACAGCTATGAAGTGAATGAACAATTTAGAGTTGTTGGTCAGGACACCAGAAGAAATTCCCTACTTTTTTTGAATAGTGCCCTGGGATCTTTAATGTCCACCTGAACAACCAAATGGGATCTCAGTTTAACAACTCATACAAAGCATTGATACCTTCATCAATGTAGCACTCCCCCAGCCCCAAAGACTGCACTTTAATGTCAGCTTAGACTATATTTGAATTCAAAGTCCCACCGAGCAGCTTCAACCCACAACCTTCTGACACAGAGATAAGTGTACTATGAACTGAGCCAACCTGACACACAAAGTCCGTTAAATATCTGATGAGGAAATTCTGAGGCTTGAGATGACAGCATCTGGAGAACAAGCACTATCTGGGGTCTGGCTTCGTGAACACACCTTCATTTATTCAGTGTTTGATATCAATTTGATTGGTACATGGCGAGGTAAGAGAAGAGAGGCACAGTACTCCAAGAAACTGCTGATTACATACAAGCCATCTTGGTTCATTGGCGGGACTTGGAGGGATAGACTGGTCATTTGGGACAGGGATTCTTCCCATTCAGTTCCTGTTAATCCTTCAAGGCAAAGCACTGATGAATAGGGTGTTCTTAATTCGACAAGCAACAGGAAGCTTGCTAGACAGTGCTCTCAATGGCAATCTGTATGTTTTAACTGGTAAAATTCCCAATAGTACTCCGATGCATACTCTGGTGTCCTCAAGTCTTGCCAACATAAGTCTAATACTGTCAGGAATTTGGTAAATATAATAATCCTTGCATTTGATATAGCGCTTTCACATCTTCTCGATGTCTCAAAGCGCTTCACAGAATATACTGTAAAGTGAATTGACTGTATATTTGTGGGCAAAACGCGGCAGCCAATTGCGCACAGCAGTGTCCTACAAACAGTCGTGGATTGAAAATGATCAATTTATTATTGTTTTGTTTTTTGGAGAGATTATTATTAGACATGTGGAGTAAGGAAACCTGCCCAAACTTTCACCCTTGGTGTGTCCCTACAGGGAGAAAGTATTTCATTCCAGACACAAGGAAATTTCCATGCATAAGTGCCATGCACACTTGCAACACCTGCATACCTTAGGGCTATAAATCCCCACAAATTCCTCCACACCCTAGTACTGCCTTAGCTCTGATCTTCTACTCAGGTCCACTGGCCTCAACTAACTCAGACTTAATGTTCACTCAATCCATGACTGTTTGTGGGACACTGCTGTGCACAATCGGCTGCCACATTTCACCCACAAAATATACAGCCAACTTACTTTACAGTATATTCTGTGAAGCGCTTTGAGATGTCTCGAAGACGTGATAAGGGGCTATATCAAATGCAAGGATTATTATTATATTATCCACCGCCCTCTTCATGTCAAGTGGACTACCTCTCGAACTACCTCCTTCTACCCTCCTCCACCCATCTTTCCCCCTATATCCCACCTTGAAACCTCCTAAGCCATGCCTTTACTCACCTCCCCCTTTTCCCGTCCCTACTTAGCATA